GAAATGCCGGCGCAGCCCGATCAGACGGAGGCGGGCGCTGGGGCCGGGGGATGCCCTCCTCGAGCTGCAATAGTCGGGGGTCAGTGCACACGGGGGTCGGCCAGAGCGTCGATCGCAGGGAGGCGGGCTGGGGCCCGGGGGTACCCTCCTCGAGCTGCAGTAGTCGGGGGATGGACAGACCTCCTACCCTGACACGTCGATTAAGGAATTGGCCGTTTTCGGTTCGCGAGAAGGCGTCGCGGCCGTCATTTTTGCGGGTCCAGGTCCGTCGGTTTCGGTCCCAGGCAGTTTTCACAAAAGGGAGGTTTACTAAAGGGAGGTTTGTCCACCGCCGAAGGATAGACGGGGATTGGTGCACACGGGGGCTGGCCAGAGCGCAGGACCTTGCAGGATCCTGCAGAGCCAGGGCTGCACTGACCCAGGCTAGTGCGCAGAATCTTGCGGGGTCCTGCGCAATCGTGCATGATCCTGTAGAAAGCCGGGCTGACCCAGGTTTGCTCCCTCCCGCGGGGTTGGGCAGGGAAGCGGAGGGGTGGAGGGCGCAGGGGGTCCCAGGTGAGTATCAGGAGGAGGAGGAGGAGGATGAGGAGGAGGAGGAGGAGGAGGAGGAGGTCCAAAGATGGAGTCCTGAGGGATGGGGTCCTCAGGACGAGGTGCCACAAATAATGTACATCTACCCTTGGATCCCTTCCTATCCTTCAGGACCCTGTCATTAAAGCACAGAAGGAGGAGGAGGCGGTGGAGGAGGAGAAGTAAGCTCAGCTCCTCTTGTGATCGAAAGTCAAACATCGGCATAGACATAAATGTTTAAAGCTCCGCGCGGATTTCTTGGATCTGCTCCGGGAGCTCCACCTCAGGTCCAGTGGCGCAGTCCGCATTGCGGCGCCGCCCCACTTCGGCACACCCCTCACACGTTTCGTGGCCCCACAGCTCCACCTAAGGTCCCAGTGGCGCAGTCCGCATGGCGGCGCCGTTCCAATTTGGCACACCCCTCACACGTTTCGTGGCCCCATAGGAAGCTCCGCCTAAGATCCCAGTGGCGCAGTCCGCGTGGCGGCGCAGCTTCCTTTCGACACACCCCTCACTCGTTTCGCCGTCCGCACGGCGGCGCTGCCCCACTTCGGCACACCCCTCACACGTTTCGTGTCCCCTAAGCAAAGGGAGCTCCACCTCAGGTTCCAGTGGCGCAGTCCGCATGGCGGCGCCGTTCCAGTCCGCATGGCGGCGCCGCCCCATTTTGGCACACCCCTCACACGATTCGTGGCCCCAGATGGAGCTCCACCTAAGGTCCCAGTGGCGCAGTCCGCATGGCGGCGCCGCTTCACACGTTTCGTGGCCCCACAGCGAGCTCCACCCAAGGTCCCAGTGGTGCCGTCCGCGTGGCGGCGCAGCTTCCTCTCGGCACACCCCTCACACGCTTCGTGGCACCATAGGGAGCTCCACCCAAGGTCCTAGCGGCCCCGTCCGCATGGCAGCGCCGCCCCATTTCCGCACACCCCTCACACGTTTCGTGGCCCGATGGGGGGCTCCAGCGAGGGTCAAAGTGGCGCAGTCCGCATTGCGACGCCGCCCCATTTCGGCACACCCCTCACACGTTTCGTGGCCCCATACGGAGCTCCACCTAAGGTCCCAGTGGCGCAGTCCGCATGGCGGTGCCGCCCCATCGTTGCACACCCCTCATACGTTTCGTGCCCCCATAGGGAGCTCCGCCTAAGGTTCCAGTGGCGCAGTCAGCATGGCGGCGCCGCCCCATTTCGGCACACCCTCACGTTTCGTGGCCCCATGGGGAGCTCCACCTCAGGTCCCTGTGGCGCCGTCCGCATGGCGGCGCCGCCCCATTTCGGCACACCGCTCGCACGTTTCGTGGCCCCATAGGGAGCTTTACCTAAGGTCCCAGTGGCGCCGTCCGCATGGCGGCGCCGCCCCATTTCGGCACACCCCTTATACGTTTCGTGGCCCCATAGGGAGCTCCACCTATGGTCCCAGTGGCGCAGTCCGCATGGTGGCTACTCAACCGACGGCCCCAGTGGCTACGTTCGCATGCGCCCACCGCACCTATTTCGGCACACCCCTCACACGCGTCGTGGACCCATAGGGAATTCCACCGCCTGCCCCAGCGGTTGTTTTCGCATGCGCCCGCCGCACTGTCTTTGCAACTCCCCTTACACGCTTCGTGGCCCTATAGTGAGCTTCTCCGAAAACGTTGCACACAACGGTGGTACTCACATCTGCATATGGTTGGGTCCTTCGCCAGACTAATGTTTGCCCCTCTATGGGAGTGGCCGCAGTTTGCGCATCGTTCCTTGGAGAACCGCGCCGTTCGTCACCATCCACCATAACCACCCCAGCCCAACCCGAAAATGCTCCAATGTGCCGTCAATTCTCAGTAGTGGGCGGCGTCCGGGAACATTGCCATTAGCTTGGCGAGAAACCCAACCATACGCAGTTGTGAATACCGTCGTTGTCAGTGTCGCCTTCGGTGGATCTCCTTACGGGGCCACGAAGCGTGTGAAGAGTGTGCCGACATGGAGCAGGGCGGAGCTCCCCATGGGCCCTCGAAGCGTGTGAGGGGGGTGCCAAACTGGGGCGGCGCCGCCATGCGGACTGCGCCACTGGGACCTTGGTTAGAGCTCCCTATGGGGCCACGAAACGTGAGAGGGGGGTGCCAAAATGGGGCGGCGCCGCCATGCGGACTGCGCCACTGTGACCTTAGGTGGAGCTCCCTGTGGGGCCACGAAACGTGTGAGGGGTGTGCCAAAAATGGCGGCACCGCTACACGGACTGCGCCATTGGGACTTTTGGTGGAGCTCCCTATGGGGGCACGAAGCGTGTCAGAGGTGTGCCAAAATGGGGCGACGCCGCCATGCGGACGGCGCCACTGGGACCTTCGGTGGAGCTCCCTATGGGGCCACGAAGCGTGTGAGGGGTGTGTCAAACTTTGGCGGCGACGCCATGCGAACTTTCCCACTTGGGCCTTCGGTGGAGTTCCCTATGAGGCCACGAAGCGCGTGAGGAGTTAGCCAACGTGAGGGGGCTACGAGAGGAGGGAGGAGGTTGTTGAAAGTGGGTATTTCTGGATTCCCAGATCCTAATCTACTTTAGGCGCCTTCCTGCTTCAATTAATGAGCGAATGTTTTTTTTCCTGAAGGAGCGGGCGGAAACCCAATCTATTTCCAACCCCTTCCTACTTTATGTTCCTATCTACTTCTTCCGACCGATGGGTACCCCCTCAGCCCGAAAATCGGGTCTTGGGGTTGGGTTGGGGATAGTCTGACAGGTCGTCCTAGAGAGAAGGGAGGAGACACGAGGCCCCTTCGCGTTTATCGATCTTCCACAGATCGTGCTCTTGTAGTTGTCGCCTCGGCGCCGTCGCCGTCGGCGGAGAATCGTCTGTCCTCAGAGCTATCACCGCAGTTGCTGTAATGAGAGTAAGACTGGTGTGCATACAACACACAGACACGAATTTACCTATATATTCAATGTATACATACATCCATCCGTCCGTCCGTCCGTCCACCCATTCATCCATACAAACAGACAGACAGGCATATCTATGTATATCTTGTAGCTAATGGTTTTCACTGTCACGCGCAAATCATGTCGCGTGCGTTTGGGGCGCCATATCCAATTCAGGTAATTCCAGTGGTTCCTCATTCTCGCGGAGCCTTTATCCCATGAAGTGGGATTGTTGTCCGCGCATAAAGGTTATGCCAGTGGTTCCCCATTCCCGCGGAGCATTTATCCCATGAGGTGGGATTGTTGTCCGTGCGTGCATCAATGTTTAAGGCCTCTGCGGGGCCCTCCCGGGGACAATGTGAACACCAGGATGTGGACCAACCGACCAGAGGATTTGTTAGTTCCAATTGTCTTCCAGCGAAAGAAGCAATGTAGAGTTAGCGTCTCTGGAAGTGAGCATGGCGACACCTCTTTTCGTAGGCTGAGTGTGGCCACGCCTCAGCTGTACATTGCGTCCTTGGCCAATTTGGCTCAAGGCTTGGGCGGACTTAATTGCAGTGGTTCGCATGCCAAAACAAACCAAAAGTTCGAGAGTGGAGTCGCACGTTTCGAGACACGTTTGCTACGACTGCTCATTCGCTGCTTTGCGATAAGCTCCACATACCCTGCGAAGGGGGCGACCCACACCCAGTACCAGTCGACATCGCCATCAAACATTTGAAAGCAGTTGCAGGGGAGGCTTGGGTTGAGGGTGCTGTTTTGGATGCTTCAGAGCAGGTCCAATGGACGGGTTCACGGAACCTTCGACATCTATGACCCCAAGCACAGGTTCTGAACCCAAGTATCCCGCACTTGGACCGCCTGCGAGTTTGACCGCAGACCAGGCGCTGGATTGGTACCTGGCGCAACGCGCAGTTCAGAACGCTCAGCCAAGCGCTTCTCCACAGCAGCCGTTGGGCATGACAGCATTGCCCCGTGCACCGCAGTTGGCTCTGCCTGGACCCCCCCAGGGCTTGCGCGGCCTGCCTCCTGGTCTGCAGCTCAGCCTGCCTCCGCCGCCACCTCAGCAACGCCCGCAGCCACCCGCCTGGGCAGGTGCTCATCCGCAGCTAGAAGCCGCAACGTATGCTGCGATGCCCCTGGTGCCGGGATGTCGGCGCCGCATCTTTACCAGCCTGCTTGACCTCACGCTGGCGACATTTTACGCGGTGCGGCAGATGGCGTCGCAGGCGTTTGTGCGGCGGTAGCCGGTACATCGTTTGAGGTAGCACGGGGTGCAGGAGGTGTTGGTTCAGCAGTTGTTGGTGCATCGGCCAGCGCGGCGCGCGGCGTGGGGGCAGCATTGATTGCGGCGTCGAGTCTGCTCAACCCAATGCTACCTGATCGGATTCCTTCCCACCCGCCACTGCCAGTGCCGCAGGATGCCGCGCCGTTCTACGCGCCACCGGCCCGAACACCTTCACAAGCACCCGCGGTGGTTTTGACGCCGGAGATACTTCAACAACCTCTTCAATGCGCCGATGCGGCGAACATTGCAGCCGAAACAGCGGGGGCAGAGCCTGGCGATGCTCCGA